CAACTATTATAGCCTAGAAATAATCACAAATCTGGCCCTTTGGGGCCAGCCTAACAAACCCGGATTAAGAAAAAAAAAACTTCGCGACTAAGCGTGACATTTTCCCCTACAATTGCCCTACAATTTAGCCTTCCAAGGCTGGCTTTGCAAGGAGTTCCGGGACTGGTAATTCAGCATCCACTGGAGTTTGAATAGGCAAATACAGCAGGAGATCCCAATTCTGCAGAGAAATCAAGTTACTTGCCTTCAAGCTTCCTCTTGGAAGGGGATACAGCAGCTTTTGCCTGGGGAGGGAGGAATAAGGCAGCCATGAGGGAAAAGTTTTTAATTCCACGGGTTAACAAAACAACAACACTGTTTGAAGCGAGAGGTCTTTGGCGGCCATTCCCTTGAATTTCATACAAAGTTTGTTAATCTGGGCATTTTAAGCAACGGAATTCCAGCTCTTTGGCTGCCCCCCTCCGGCCCACGTGAAGTCGATCAGAAGCCAAAAGTGCAGCGGGTTGGACTACAGGACCTCCAAGGCCTCTTCCAACTTTTCTGTTATTCTGTCCATGCAATACAAATAGCACGGCTTTTATTTTTGAAGGCGACGGTTAACTTTTTTTTTTTTCTTTCCCAATTAATGTTATGTGCTCGCATGTGAGCCTACGCAATTTCGCTGCTCTCTTGGTTTTTCACCCACCCCTAAAAGTCTCATCAAGGGGTTGTTGCCCTCTGACCTTTTTGATAGCCGTCCAATCTTCCATGATGTCGATATCGTGCAGCATGTACACGATGTATGGGCGTGAGGAAGGAGCTGTTAAGGAGGAAATTGTGAGAAACCAGGCGCCGCTAAACCCCAACCAACCTGTTCAGGTGGTATGTTTTCTTTACTATTCGTGCATTACTTTTTATCTCGCCTTTACTGCTTTATGAGTAACTCAAAAGTGGCAAGCGTACATAATATTCCTTCCTTTTCTTATTTTCCCCAATACGACAACCCTGTGAGGTGGGTTGGGCCGAGAGAGGACTAGATCAAAGTCATCCAGCCGGCTTTCATCTGAAGGTGGGACTAGAACTCCTGGTGACTGGGCCAAAGTCACCCAGTTGGCTCTCATGCCTAAGGCAGGACTAGAACTCACTGTCTCTGGTGATTAGTCCAAAGTCACCCAGCCAGCTTTCATGGCTAATATGGGACTAGAACTCTCAGTCTCCTGGTGATTGGACCAAAGTCACCCAACTGGCTTTCATGCCCAAGGCAGGACTAGAACTCTCAGTCTCCTGGTGATCAGTCCAAAGCCACCCATGGCTAAGGCGGGATTAGAACTCCCCGACTCCTAGTTTCTACGCCACACCTTCACCACTGCAGCTAGCTCTCTTTTTGCAGAAGCCTCAACTCTCCAAACCAGGAAATCGACATCCCATTCAGAAGGAAAAGTAGACAAAAGGATATCGGACACCAAAGGCGGTTTCTTCCTCTTGCTGGGCCAGAGGGAATCCCATTCCTTGGAGATGTGCTTGGGCCGAAGTTTGCCATCCCACCACTCTAAGAAAAGAGAAAGAGAAACAGACCTCCCAGATGAAGTAAAATTTGTTAGCCTGGCCAGTGCTATCAGCTTTAAATCATCTGCATAGAAAGCAGATGCGGATGTAATTCAGAAAATACTGGACTGTGAAGAGATGGATAGATTGATATTAAAAATAAAGGGTAAAGAAGACACAGAATATTACTTAACGTGGAACAGATCTTAGAAGTGGCTAGAGATAAAAGGCAGGAATTAGGTAAGAAAGATTGTTGTTATGTAAGAACTAAATAATTAAATACAAAAGAATTCAATTGACAATTAGAAACATGTTGATATAAATAATAGAACTATAAGTAAGCTAATATAAGAAACTCTGCTAACATTATTTTGTTACCATATCACCATTGTTACTAGTATATGTTGATATTTGTTTGTTTTTTTCTTTTTCGTAAATGATATGCCCTGACAATACAGTCTATTCAAAATGTTTATGAATAAAAATAAAATGTATACTAAGAAAGAAAGAAAGAAAGAAAGAGGAAGGAAGGAAGGAAGGAAGGAAGGAAGGAAGGAAGGAAGGAAGGAAGGAAGGAAGGAAGGAAGAAAAAAAGAAAGAAAGAAAGAAATCAAGAAAGAAAGAAAGAAAGAAAGAAATCAAGAAAGAAACCAAGAAAGAAAGAAATCAAGAAAGAAATCAAGCAAGCAAGCAGCTGGCTGGGGAATTCTGGGAATTGAAGTCCACAAGCCTTAAAAGTTGCCAAGGTCAGATACTCTTGCTTTTCGATCTATGGCAGGGAAGCTCCCATCCTTCCTAAGGCAGGCTAGCCTGGCAACATGGGGATTGTAGTCCAAGACAGCTAAAGAACCCTTGGGTCTTTTCCTGGTAGACGGCAGCTTCTCAGCCTTGGGAAAAATCCAAGGATCTTCCCTCCCCACAAACCCATGGGACGCTCCACCCGTACACTGGAGGCTCCGAGATCGGATTCTGATCCGTTTTGGCTCTCTCCAAGGGACGACGTTGGCAGCCGGGCTGGGGGGTGGGAAAGGAAGGAGACTCTGCCGGGCAGGGGAACTCACCTGAAGTGAGGCCCACGCTGTGCCTGTCATCTTCCAGCCGCTGGATACGCTCCAGCAGGCGTTCTTCAAGGCTGTCGAAGAGCAGCAGTTTCTCACTCTTTAAGATGGACAAAGCAGAAAAATATTTGGCACCCCTTTTCTTTCTTTCTTGGCGGCCAATCCCCCCCCCAAAAGAGGCCTGTGGGACGGGATCCAACAACCGGAAAAACACCCGAAGCCAACTTCTATGGGCCTCCCCGTCAATGAGGACTGGGCACCTAGGTGCAAGGGTGGGAGGCAAATATTTTTTTACTACCAGTTCTGTGGGCGTGGCTAGATGGGATGGCCATGTGGCTGGGTGGGCATGGCTTTTTTTGCAGTAACCTCAGGGAAGCCTCAGGGAAGCCTCCTTCTAAGGGGGATCTCGGCACAGCTGATCGTCGGAACAGCTTATAGTCAGCAGGAAAAAAATAAAAATAAATAATCTAATGGGGATCCTGGCACAGCTGATCGTCAGAACAGCTAATCATCAAGAGGGAAAAAAATAAAAATAAAAAATTCTAAATGGGATCCCAACACAGCTGATCGTCGGAAGGAAAAAATAAAAATAAATACTCTTAAGGGGGATCCCAGCACAGCTGATCGTCGGAACAGCTGATCGTTGGGAGGAAAAAATAAAAATAAATGCTGTAAGGACTGACTGGGCCGGGAGAGGTGGTCGGGAAGGAGAGGAGAGGGGCCAGCCAGGGGCATGATTTGCCAGTTCTCTTAACTGCGCAGAATCGTAACAACCGGTAGAATCCCACCCCTGCCTAGGTGGCTCCGGACCCTTGGTTTGCCAACTCATGCCCGTTCCAATTGATGGAAGTGGTGAAGAATGACCACCATCGCCATTCAAGTACGGAGGGGTTACAAGAGTCGGGGGAAATGGGCCAGGTCTGGGTACGAATCCCCCCCAACTTGCACCACGTCGCTCACTGACTGAAGCTGTCTTACGGTAACCTCGCAAGGTTGCTGCGCTGAGGATAGAAGGGAGGGTTAAATTCTGAGTGTGTTGCCTTGGCTTCCTTAGAAGAAAACCAGCTGATGAACGCCAAGAAGGCAAGAGGATCGGTTGGCTATGGAAGGAATTATTCCTGAAAAGCCACACCGGCTACCACCAAGGGATTTGAGACTGGTATGGAGCAGCGTGGTTTCCATTTTGTCCTCACAACAACCCTGTGAGATAGGCAGGGGAGGGAAAGGAAGGGGGAGGGGTGAGAGAGGAGAGGGAAAACAGAGAAAGAGACAAAGGAAGAAAGAGAGAGAGAAAGAGAGAAGGGAAAAGGTGGGAGGGAAAACAGGAAGGGACAAAGGAAGAAAGGGGGGAGGAAGGGGAGGAGAGGAGGGAAAAAGAGAAAGGAAGAAAGTGAGGGAGGGGAGGGGAAGAGAGGAAAAAGGAGAAAGAAAGGAAGAAAGAGAGAGGGACGAAGAAGAGGAGAGGAGAAGGAAAAAAGAGAAAGAGACAAAGGAAGAGAGAGAGAGAGAGAGAAAGGAAGAGGAGGGGAGGTTTAACTACGGAGGGCAAGAAAGGTCACAAAATGGGGCAAAACTCATTTAACAACCGTCTCAATGAGCCATAGGGTTGTTGTTTTTTTTGCACTCAAGTGCAGCCCTTAAGTTGAGGGTCACCTGTATTAATCAACGCCTCCTTTCTCGAGATTTGAGGGAGGGGGGAGAGGAGGGGCATAAATGAAAAGATTAGGAGGGGGGAGGGTTTCTTCTAACCTCCAGGTGTTGCTGGGCTCCTTGAAGCTCGCACCCATGGCGGTGTTTGATGACTTCCAGGCACAAAGCTCGATATATCCCTGGGGGAGAAAGAATGCAAACATTTGGAATATGGTGGAAAGTGATTTGTGGGTGTTTGTGGGTGCGTGAGGATTCCGGCACTTAACCCCAATTAAATCATGAGTCTAGAGCCGAACTTCCTAAACTTAGAGATGATTTATTAGGAGTAACCATGCCGGCACTGCCTGGGTGCAGCTGACTCTGAGATACATCATTCATTGTCACCCTTGACCCTGGTTTTCCCTCCATCCCCTGGGTGTATTGTAATTCATATCCTCCAATGGGACACAGCCATAGCCAAGAGTCATCAATCAGGCTCTCCAGTTAGAATTTTGCACGGCAGAAACTTCGGTCACCTAGTTACTATCTTTGAAAACATTTATGGAATGTAATTTTGGTTTTGCAAGCTGCTGCACTGCTCCCCGCTTCCTTTTCTGTTGGCAGCTCTAAATAAAGACCCTAGAAATATTTTATGAGTTGATAGTGTGTGTGTGTGTGTGTGTGTGTAGGGGGGTTGTTCCTTCCTCCACAAACCGCAACCTTCTGCCTTAATGCTTATTACAGGTGGTCCTTGACCTACGACCACAACGGAGCCCAACATTTCTGTGGTTAAGCAAGAAGTTTCGTGAAGCGAGTTTTGCCCCGTTGATGGCTAGCCACCTTGAAGCCTGCAACCAAACTCGGATTTTACCAGCTTTCTAGATATTTTAAGAGAGAGGGGCACTGTCCCTATCTCTCGCCGAATAAAAACGTTTCTTAAAACGAGGCTGTCCTCGCTAAACTTTGATTTAGCGGACAGGCCATGCAAGGTCACAGGAGTGCTTGGATGGGAGACCACCCAAAGATCCCACAGCTGAACTAGGAAATTAGGCCAAAAATCCACAGCAGAGGGGTCATCCAATCACTTAAACGAGGTCTTTAATGATTTGCCCAGCTAGGTGGCAATGTTGTGGCCCGCCAACGGCCAGTGGAGCTGGCAGCAGACTCGGGCAGTTGAGGAGGCTGGGGAAGAACATGGGCCGGTCCTGCAGTCTGGGGGAAGGTTCTGACAAGGGCTTTGCGTTGGAGGCAGAGATGAGGCCAGGGCCGTCCGACAATTATCAGCTACCTTCGGAGTCGGACATCAGTAAGGCAGAAGAACAGCTGGAGCCTGTTCCCAGTGTGTGCATGAGCAGAGCTGCCAGGAGAAGGGAACAGCTAATAAACAAGGGTCAACTCGGGAGTAAAGGCATAGGTGGATGGTGAATGGCCTCTCCCATAGGGAACAAAGAGGAGTGGGGTTTGCAGGAGACAATTAGTTCAATTCATTAGGGTGAAGATCTGCTCCTGACTTCTTGCCAAGTCATTACTGCTACAACGTGGTGTTTGGAAGATATCGGCCTGGCAACTCTCCAAGCCTGATAAAGGTCTGTAATTGTGAAAGCTCATGAAAGACTGTTGGCTGGGACTTTGCTGGAGAGGGATTCACTTTAACCGAAATAAAAGGGGTTTTATCGGGACGAGGTATCTACTTCCTGATCTTGGGACGCCTAGGTCAGAACAGGTAACTCCTAGCAGAACTTGGATGGGCTTAAAAAAAAAATATAGCGCATTAGGAAAGAAGACCACTAGGAAATCTCAGGCTTGAGGCTTAGAAAACTTGGGTGGGGGAAACACATCCTTTTAAAGCCAAGGGCAAACACGGAAGTGTCAAGAAATTTCGGTGGTTGTGTTCAGTTCGTTCAAAATTCTCCCCGTCCTGACAGTTCAAAGGTCAACCCCCTGCCTCAAATGCCACCCCCCCTCTCTTCCTCTCGCCCCATACGGCTTGGGACCCCACAAAGCTTTACCAGCCACTTCGATCTGGATCTCCATGTGATTCTGCAAAACGGCCAGGGGGTCGAGGTATTCCGTGGCTTTTCCCGACATCACGTCTTCCAATTTTGCCTTCATCTGATTCAGACGTTCCTTAAACAGCCTGCAAAAAAAACAAAAAAAGCACCCCCCAGCCAATTCACCAGGAAAACAAAAATCCCAAAGTCCCCCCCAAAAACAGACGCAAAAGGAAAACAGAAGGAGAAAGAAAATAACCTACTTTTCTTTGATTTCAGAAAACTGCTTCTCCAGATCTAGCATTTCATCCACGCATTCTGCCCGGCGCCGTTCGTAATCTTCATCGTTCATCTCTGGGGAGGGGAAGAAAAATGGACAATTTGGACTCGACTCAAAAAAACCAACCCATCAGATCCCTCGATAAAATGGGATTTATTTATCATAGCTTTTGAATTTTAGACCGTCTGTTTTGTGTGTGTGGGGGGGTTCTCGGTGCTCTCTTGAGCTTGCTTGTTTTCTCGCAGACGTTTCCTTACCCAACTAGGTAACATCATCAGTGCTAATGAGTCTCACTGGCACTGATGATGTTACCTAGTTGGGTAATGAAACGTCTGCAAGAAAACAAGCAGTCTCCGAGAGCACCGAGGATCGCACGGTGCAATCCTGAGCTATAAATATTCTCCTTTCGTTCAACTGTTTTGTGTTACTTGATGACAGGCAAAATTAAATATGTTATAAAGTGCAGAATTAACCGAAGCACGGAATGGGGAATGAACAAAAAGTTAGGATTTGCAGAATTAACCAAACCATGATCTTCAGGATTAACCCACAGCAGGCAGAATGAAGTAACTACGAGGCACAGAATTAACTCTACCATGACATGCACAACAGCATATGGCATGTAAAATGAACTAAACTCAGCCTGTAGAATATCATCCTTGGCAACTTTTAAGGCCTGTGGATTTCAACTCCCAGAATCCCCCAGCCAGCAGGCTTTAAGATGGGTGACTTCAACTCCCAGAATTCCCCAGCCAGTGTATTTTAAGATGGGTGGACTTCTTGTTTAAAAGTCTGTGCTGACCAATTGGCCCCCAACTTCACCCAAATCTTCAATAAATCACTAGAAATGTGCTATGTTCCTTCTT